GTCAGTGGTCACTATGAATGGCTTCTGCGGATCGGGAACCATGAGAACTTCATGATTCATGAGTGCATGCTTCAATCTCTTGAAAGCACCCTCGCACTCATCACTCCAGTCCCACGGTGTGTCAAGTCGAGTTAGATCAGTCAAAGGAGAGGCGACTGTAGAATAGTTCTTAACGAAGTTTCTATAGTAGCCGCACATTCCTAAGAATGACCTGACCTCAGTGACTGTCTGAGGTCGTGGCCAGTTTCGAATACTAGCCACCTTCGCATCTTCTGGCCTAATTCCGTCCGCGGAGACTTCATGACCCAAGTATAGTATCTTTGTGCGGCCAAATTCGCACTTCTCTAAGTTGACCTTATATTTGTGTTGTCGCAGGAGTGAGAGTACTTTCTCAACATGTTGTGCATGCTCCTCGGCAGACTTACTAAAGATCAGAATGTCGTCTAAGTAGACCATGACAAACTTATCTAAATGGTCATGGAAGATCCGATTCATAGCGTGTTGGAACGTACCCGGCGCATTACAAAGACCAAAGGGCATCACTACAAACTCATACAGACCATAACGTGTCTGAAAAGTTGTCTTGTGTTGGTCCTCAAGTCTTATTGCGATTTGGTGATATCCGGATTTCAAGTCTATCTTACTATAGTACTTGCATCCCTGCACCCTATCCAATAGGTCGTCTATGCGAGGTAGAGGCTCTGCGTTCTTCAAAGTGATGGCATCGAGGCCTCTATAGTCAATGCACATCCTCAAAGTACCCCCCTTCTTCAGTACGAATAGAACGGGTGATCCGTAAGGGGAAGTACTAGGCCGAATCCAACCCTTCTCTGTCAACTCCTTAAGATGTCGCCGAAGTTCATCTAACTCGGCGGGGGCCATCCTATAGATCCTTCCCTTTGGGGTCTTACTCCTTGGAATGATTTCTATAGTGTGGACGACTTCCTTTTCAACAACTCATGTGGGCTCCTCGAACAGATCAGGGAACTTAGCAACGACACGTTCTATCTCTGGGGGTGTTTTAACGGCCTCCCCTTTCTCAGAGACATAAACAAGGTACATACCCTCCTCTTGGTTTTGCTTGTAGTAATTGTAGAACGCTGATGCACACAAGCAGCCATAGGTATCTACAATACTGCTAGCCTTGAACTTAGTCAATCTAACAGTTCGGCCATCGGGCAACTTATGTTTGAGCACCTTCTTGTCCCAGTCAAACTGGGGCTCAGCAACTTCGAGGTAGTACATGCCTAACAACATGTCAAATGGTAAGTCGTCGCCAACCAAGAACGAGATTTTATGGTTAAGCTCTCCTCCTCCATAGGAGAAGTTACAGACTACGTCCTTGATGTAGTCCGTTACAATCATGCGCTCCTTGTTGGCCAAAGTAGATGCTACTGGTCTACTAAGGTGCCGTACCCGATCCTGTAGGTGCAGCCTTTCCAAACAGTCGTGACTTATGTAATTCCGTGTGGAGCCTATGTCTATGAAGGCACCACATTTGCGGCCTCCTACATCAACTTCCACCACGAAATGTTCCCCTCTAGGACCTTTCCTCAGCGCCACCCAAGACTCGCGAGGGTCCTTGTTTGACCACTCACTCTCCAAGTCCTCTAAGGCTTCAGACACATCTAATGTACAGAGCATAGTTTGGTCTAGTTGTGTCTGCGGGGTGACTAAGGGGCCATTAGTCTTGGCCTTGTCATGAAGTAGGGAGGGTATCAATCCCACTTCATCTTGAGTTGAAGCAGCTAATACTTACACTGGCCTCACGCGTTTCCCGAGCTAGAAGCCTGGGAATAAGTTGCCCCCATCTTTGGAGCAACCTGTTGCGTAACCTTAGCGTTTTGGCACTTGTACTGCGAGTGTCCGTATTCCCCGCAATTGATACAAGTGCCACGCGTTTGGCGGTCACGCCACACATCTTGATCAAGACCCGCCTTAACCCACTCAGCCTGTTTGGTCTGATTGGAGGCGGTCTTCCCTTGACCCCTAGGTTGGCCCTTCCCTCGGCCAGCTGCCTTAGTGTTGACTGCTGCGGCGAGGGTGCTACCCTCAGCTACCTCCTCGCCGTCATACTCTGAATAGTCCACCAGGTCAGAGAGTTCATCGATCTTAGTTTGAGTCCCATCTGACTCAACCATCATCAACTTAGCCCCCTTCTTCTTCCATTCTTGAGGACTCTTCTTCTTCTTTGAGTCATTCCCTGAGGTGGGTTGAGCATTGCCTAGCGTGGCCTCCAAGTCTAAGGCTTTCCTAGACAATTTCTCAAACGAGTGGTACTCGGTGCGTGCCTCACTGGCTAGTAAGTTCCTGATGTTCTCTGGGAGACATCTGACAAACGTAGTCGAGGAACTGGTCGCTGTAGTTAATGCTTGGGACGAGGATCAGGCTCTCCACGGTAGTCGTAAGCTCTCTAACCGACTTGAACTTTCGTTGGTCTAGTTTGTTAATGGCATCAATGGCCCTTTGTGCCTCCTGTGGGTTATGCCATCGAGCTTCTACCATTTCCATAAACTGGTCTAACGTAAGAGACTTAGCCCAGTCCGCCATGCGTCTCCCATACCCGGCCTTTATAACTACCCCATCTAACCATTTGGCTGCCTTACCCTCCAGGTAAGATGCCGCAGTTACCACTTCGTCCTCTAGCAAGGTTCTTTTGGCCTTCACCCAAACCGGGACCGTTCTCAACCAAGTGTTGAGTTCTTCGTCCTTTCTTTCCCTTGAGAAGGGAAGAGGCGGTTTCATCGGGGTCTTAGGGTACCAATGCCCTTGCTGCTGTCCTTGTGGAGGAACAGGTTGTTGCGGTGATGTAGCAATCACCACTGGACCCGAAGAAGAAGACGCAACAGTCTGTGAGACTGCTGCAGACGTACCACTTGGCTGTGTACCAGCTTGAACTGGAAAGGGGCCTGACATCGCCGATAACGGCAACGGCGATTGTGCTGGTGGTCGGAATCTAGGCCTTGTCAAAGCATCCAGGATCTGGTCTAGAGTGCTCTGCATGAAGTCTAATTTGTTGTCCACGTGTGCGTGCAATGACAGCATATTCTTCTTCAATACTTTCAGCGGGTCAGTCAATGCTGACTCATCCAAGCCCTCGAATTCAGCCTTGTCAGCCTCTAAAGTTTCAAGCCTGGCTGCTCTAGTTTTCATCGCATTTTCTCTATCAGTAGCATCTTTCAGGTCCTGCTCTAACTTACGGCGGAGCCTCTCGACCTGCTGGATCTCTCTGAGCTCCCTCTCACGCGGGGTCAACCCTTGCTGCTGTCCCTGTGGAGGAACAGGTTGTTGCGGTGATGTAGCAATCACCGGTGGACCCGAAGAAGAAGACGCAACAGTCTGTGAGACTGCTGCAGACGTACCACTTGGCTGTGTACCAGCTTGAACTGGAAAGGGGCCTGACATTGCCGATAATGGCAACGGCGATTGTGCTGGTGGCCGGAATCCTGGCCTTGTCAAAGCATCCAAGATCTGGTCTAGAGTGCTCTGCATGAAGTCTAATTTGTTGTCCATGTGTGCGTGCAATGACAACATATTATTCTTCAATACTTTTAGCGGGTCAGTCAATGCTGACTCATCCAAGCCCTCTAATTCAGCCTTGTCAGCCTCTAAAGTTTCAAGCTTGGCTGCTCTAGTTTTCATCGCATTTTCTCTATCGGTAGCATCTTTCAGGTCCTGCTCTAACTTACGGCGGAGCCTCTCGACCTGCTGGATCTCTCTGAGCTCCCTCTCACGCGGGGTCAACGGGCTGAACTGCGCGCCCGCCATTTGACTAGAAGACTGTCTAGAGCCTGTGGAACCGGAAGTGCCCGAGGAACTTGTGGAACTCGTTGGCATTCCCAATTGGCTCCCATTAGTCCCTGACGAGGACGCAGACGATGACGCAGCAGAGCTTGCGCCATTAGCCATCGCAGCTGCTCTGGCTGCTGTTGCCTGCTCTCTTGCTGCTCTGTTTGCTTCCTGTATTCCTGCTGCTAGAGCATGGGCTCTACGTATCCGTCTTTCTTCTCCCGGCTCCAAGGCCTGGAACATGTGCGGTACCCTTAGTGCCTGTGCACGTGTCAGTCTCCTATCGTCAGCTCTATCATCAACAGGATCTGACCCACTCATTAGTTAGACAGACAGTGTCTACACTAGAATCCCCTAATGGAATCCTACCGCAGCATGTATCTGACCGGCACGTAATTTTCTATAAATAGTTGTGTCTGGCGAGTTCCCTACTATACCGAATCAAGTGGCATGTCTACAGCATTCACACAGATTGTCTACATAGTCTAGATGCACCCTGATTGGTTCACTTACAGCAGCATTAGTTAGAACTGGCTATGGTAGCATACAACAGTCCTACACTAATCTGTCTGTGAGGTTAGCGGTCCGTTAACCAACTAATCAAAGGTACAAAAAGACAATGTAGCAGATGCATGATGAGTGGGTATAGTTGTGTATTCAGTTGAGCACCAATTGGAACCTACCCTCCCCTCCATCCAACATACCGAACAACATCATTGAGCGAGCAGTGTCTTCGTGTGTGTATTGGCCCACCCTTGTGCCCAAGTCAGAGCCAAGTAAGCCAGCCAGCCCACTCTTATTTACCCTCGTACGGAAATGAGCCTTACACCCGGATGATCTGGCTGATCAGGAGGATTATTAAGAGCGCTCCCATCTCTTCAGGAATTCTTTAACGTCGCAGTCAGGACGACGATCACAGCCAGAATCATTCCGAGTACCGAACCAGAAATGTTTATAGACGGTCTGGTCTCTCAAGGTAGCGTGCTCACGACACCTCACCAAGGAGAGGACTCTCAAGTTGGACTCACTTCCTCACGGTAAGAAGAGATAAGGTAAGGGAACAACGTACCTGGAGATAGCTGCCCCCAACCACAGATTTCTCACCAATTGAGCTGAATGTGCATTTGATGACCGGTCTTGACCTCGGTACCGCCCACAACGCAATGCAGTGCCACCTCAGCCGAATGCAACATCAGCGTGCTCTCATCACCAATCATACATTCCGCATGTATCCACGGCATACACTGCCGTCTTAGCCTTCCGGTGCACCCCTCTCTACCCAGGGCGTGCACCTATAGTGGCCTGTCGTCACAAGTACCCACTGCGAAGAAGCATCGTCAACGCACCAAGTCTGTATAACGCCAGCGTGTCAAAGGTAAGTGGCGATCAAACCAGCTCCGATACCAAATTGCAAGGAACATGAATATGGACGAAGCACAGAAATCCAGAATGCAAAATCACACTGAAGTCCAAGTAGTCAAAGCCAAAGCAGATAGTACAATGGAACCGAGTAACCATCCAATTGAGAATGATACAGAAGAATCGTGAGTCAATGCCCATGCCCAACAGGGCAACACCAACAGCATAACCCAAATGTAGCTCTCCCTTGTGAATGGCGCCAGGCGCCCTATCTACTCTACAGCCTATCCTACAACTACAGCAATGAAAGCAACCAGACAGCTTGACTACCAGCGAGTGATGATGTCAACACCAATGCCGACCTCCACCTCCACCAGGTACATGTCCTCTTCACCCACACTCTCCCTTGTACCCACACAGCGCCCTTCACCTCCGAAGAACCACCTTCGCCCTTCACCTCCACTGCACCCTCATGTGGCCCGGCTATGGCCGCCAGTGCCCTGGTGCACAGGCAGCGCCCTACCGCCTAGCGCTGGCCTGCCTTGCACTTCCCTTAGCGCAGCGCAGCAGCAGCAGCAGCTCGCATTAGCGCAGCGTGCCGGCATTGCCCGCAATGGCCAAGATCCCTGCCCACTCGCCCTGCTTGCCTATATGCCAGTGCAGCGTGTGGGCGGCCTCCCGTCAGCCTGCGACCGGGACCCAGAGGCTGAACCCAGCCCGATACAGTTGGGCCCCGGGGCAATGCAGTTGCGCCTCCTTCATCAAGGCCTGCGACCAGATTCAGATAGTGGGCCGATTTCCCTTTGGCATTTTCGGCCTCTATACCCAGCACGCATTGTCGGCCTCACGTTTGAGTGCCCAGGGCCTAACTAACTCAGAGGCCCTGGGCATTTCAGCATTTGCTGAAATCCGAGACTCGGAGCACTCCAACCAACTGGCGTGCTGCAACTGTATGGACCCCACTTCGTGAAATGTTGGCACAGAGGGCTCTTGTTGATTTGCTGGCCCGCCTTCGCTTAGGGCGGGCATGAGGCTTGCTGGGGCCTTAGCCCAGAACATGTACATTATGGCAAGGCCCCTACTTGAGGGCTCAATCCTCACACAATTTATTTTTTTTCTTATTAATGATCGTTGTCATTAGAAAAGGTGGAATGGTATGAGGGTGAACCGTACACCCATGAACGGTCGATAAACAGACCTGAGTTCGGATCCTGGTGGAACCAGACAAATAAAATAAATAAACTGTGAATTACCTAAGGCAGGTCAGTTCGATGATGATACCTCAAGGCTGTGACCCTTTCATTAAAAAAAAAAAAAAAAGGAGAAAGAAAGGAAAGAAAGGTGTAACGAGTTAAGAACGGTCTGACGACAAGCAAGAGATTGCAATGGGTAATTGGCACAAGGGTCCCAACAAGGGTCCCAACAATGTAGAGAAGGGCTGTGAACTTCTGTTTGTGAAGGCGAGGCGTAAAAACTAATGGTTGAATCCATGGTAACCGCGGAACCGGACACCGGACACTTCCGGACCAGTGTCTGGACCGGTCCGGACTGTCCGGTGATCCGGACATCACCGGACACCGGACATAACCGGACACCGGACAG